TTTTATTTTAATTAACCAGTTACTTTATGTTTCGAAACTTTACTGCCAGTTTTCCCTTTCCGTTTTCCTTCTAGAATGCAAATTTTAGCTTGCGCGTATGTAAGTAAAGGTTGAGATTCCTTTAGTCAGAGCATATTCCGCCTGCTGAAGGCCACGTTACTAGTTGATATTCTACGACAGCATTTCTGTCTATGGCGCTGCTTTAATCTTGCAGATAGTGTTGTCACGCCGGTGTAGGTTAGAACCAATTTCCGCGTTCAATATTTCTCTGTAGCCTTTGGCTAATTAAAACTTAGATTTAGTTTAAATTTAAAATCCTTGCTTAAATACGCTCCAGCTAAGATTTGCATTGTGGCAGGAAAACAGAAAGGGAGACGTGAGAGTAGACTTTCGAACATAAAATAGCTAGTTAATTAAAATAAATAAATACCTTAGAGACTAAAGAAGAAAAAATTTATTAACGTAAAAGGTTAAAAAAAAATCCAGTTTACTAACTGAAGAACATTTAGGATGACTTTTGCCGATAAGGAAGAGTTTAGTTGTGATTAGCTATTTAACAATTATTTAGTTTTTCCTTTCGAAAATATAGTTCATGCTGTCTGATGAGAAGACACGATATGCTAAAACTTCGCGAGACATAAAATCAGAGATGGGATCTTTAAGAATAAAATAACGTATTTTTCTGACAGATGAGAAGATGACTTGAAAGTTAAACTGTAGAGACATTTGGTTATTTCGAAAAAGGAAGGATGAAAAATAAGCAACGCCTTCGCCGGGACTCGAACCTTGACCTCTCGAATACGCGCCGAGCGTGCTGACCATAACACAACGAAGGCATGCTAAAAACGCCGGAAAAATACCTTACAAAACTTAAGGAGAATCCGCGCAAGTTTGTATTTGATAGAAAGATTAAATAATTGTCGGGAAATAGGGGAAAATTTTACAAAAACATTGTTGCACTTTTTTTTACCTAATTATACTTATAATTATTATACAATAATTATAATTAACTAACCTTGTCGGCTAACTGCCTTATCAGCTGAATGTCTTGTCGAATCTATGCCCTGTCGGATAAAATGTCGTCTATCCTATGTCGGCTAAATGAAAGTGTCGACTAAATGCACTTGTCGGTTAAATGTACTGTCGGCTAAGTGTCAAGGATCCATTTTCTTATGACTGATATATCTCTAAGTGGACAAAGAAGGTTCTACCAAAGAAAATTTCAAACTAATCGACAAACAAAACCTTCAATCATTTATATATATATATAAAAAAAAAAAAATCGAGCTCAAAAATCATTTCAAGAAATTATACAATCAGTAAAAATAATAAAATATAATTATTCGTAATACCTGGTTTTTGGTACTTACAAGGTATAAAAAAAATATTGCAGCTTTCATAAGGAAATGAAACGTTACCTAACTATTGTTTGAAAAGGCCGAAACAATTTCTTCAGCCCAAAGATCAGTTCCAATGTCCCTGAAAAAACATATTAGTTATTATAAATGCATTAGCATTTTGCTATTCGAATTTGAAATAAAAATACTAAATCACGTCAACATAGGAAACAGCCATGTCCTTTGAATTTAAAGTATTTGAAATCGTGTTTTTTTATTCTTATATGTGAAAGCCATTACTGACGCATCATTACTCTTAGTAGTAACAATATACTTTTTTTTCCCTTCGGATTTCGTAATACTCCCGTCTAAAATTTTGAGCTTCCCTAGTACGTGTTTGAAAAAACGACAAATCTAGAATTTCCTTCTGAAAATAACGATATAAACTACTTATTATATTCTGTTTTATTTGTTCGTGTACTGTTATTACTGGTATGGTTTGAGACTTCTTCAGATTTTAAACATTCCAAACATCTCATTATATTTTACTATTTTTTTTAAAAAGAACCATATTGATTTTCATTTCTAAGTTTCTTTTGTATAGTATTAACTAGGGACCGGGATTCTGAAATCCTTGAATCTTGTAAATCTTGAGAAAAATACGAGATAAGAGAAATCGAATGATGGGCTCTCTTCGTCATTCGATTATTTTAAACTGTCTAAAAAACCCTTTAACGATTTCACTCAGAACATTAGAAAGACTAGTTTTATTTACGTCTAGTGGAAAATTTCATTAAATCAAGATATCGACTGTCGCAATTTCAGTGGACCCGGATCGCCAGAGCCATCTTGTAACTGAGTGTGCTCCACGCTCTTCATTTTCTGGGCAGAATTTAGCATTTTATATGCACTGCTTATCAATATTAACTCTTGAAATAATCACCCTCTCTCTATACCAGTTTTAGCTTTAAAACGTTCTGAAAAATATTTTTAAAAAAATTCATAAAAATAAACAAATTTAAAAAAATAGTAAACGACAATGCGCCCTAAATGAGCTATTTGATATTTTCATGGAAAGAAATTTCGTATACATTTTCCTCGTTATTTACCACTTATGTCGTCATCTTCGTACGCTTTCCATTGTAAAGGTACAGCAAAATTAACTTAAGTTTTCGTCTATTTTACCTGTTTAATATTGTGTTTATCCTTTTTTACGTATATTTAATATTTTTATCGTTTTCGGTGACCAACTTGTGCCAAAGCACTGGTGTAAAGTTTAAACAAACAATCATCTGTGGTCCAGTAGTGAATTAATCCATTTTCCATTAATTCCTCTGGAATAAATTGCTTCGGATTACGAAAATTTTGGTTGATGAACAGTTTTCAGGAAAGAAATAATACATTTTGCATCATGGGGAAAATTGTTTCGACTGACTAACATTTCAGTCTACGAACGGACTTCAGGAACGAATTAAGTTCATGAACAAAGGTTTCACGGTACTCAGAAATTGACTGTAAACGATAATGTCCCATTTAATTATCCTTCGTACAACAAGTAGCCACAATGTAGCAAGCCACAGCTATCAATTTAAAATAGCACTTAATTCATTTACGCTCACTTGCAATTTTTTTCTTCGAAAAAATGTGAAAAACAAACACTTCTAATTCTACCAAACTGTGATTTAGGGATGAGTAACGAAGAGAGAGATATCAGTTTCAATTTGCGTTCCGTTTCCGGCAAGAATATGTTTATTGCATCTTTAAAGGAGGGGGGGAGAGCTGACTATTAAGGAAGCGGGGGAAGAAAGTGATACGTGAGAGATAAATAGGTATAAAAAATAAATAGCAATTTCGTCTGAGATGAGACGAAGAGTGTTGATGGGGGTTCACATTACTAAACGGTTGAAATGTTTCGAATTTCCTTCTTAATCTATCACTCTCCCGCCACGTGGGGGGTGCGGTCGCGTCAAATGTCGGATGAAGTGACCTTTGATGCTATCTACATTTCGGTTCGAGTGAACGATACGTGAACTCTGTGAACATCTTTTTTCGTGAATGGGAAAAAGAAGTTACTTAACTCGCTTTGCGGCATTGAAGCCAACAAATCGTTTTTCCGATGCATCGCACATGGCTAGAGCTACAGTATAAATTAAAATATCCGGATAAACTAGGATCACAACCCATTTAGGTACTTAAAAATGACTAGATATTTAGATTCTTCTTATTTAATATCTTACTGATATATAATAGCTGCTAGTATAAACTTTTTTAATAATAATAATTAATAACATTTACTTACTAACCAATATATAATTAATCATCTATCTATCTGTCTCTATCTATCTATCTATCTATCTATATATAATAATAATAAATGTTTACTGGTATTAATGCATTATCGCAAACATCTTAGTAAAAAGTCGCGAAATTTTCGAATGTGCCAAACTTTAGCAACCATGCGTATAAACATTCTTCAGGCATCCATGCTGATAATAATTCTTTAGCCAAGCAACTTTGCTATTTTTGTATGATTTCTTTTTGTTGTATGCTTAGTTCCAATAGTTTTTATACACAAATCTTGGTATTTTTTGCCTTAAACTCTGTTTTAAAATATGCACTTGTGGAATTCGCCAGCAACTGAAGAAACTGAGGTAAAATTTCTGCATAAATAATGAACGAAAGAGAAGTTTTCTGTGTTACGGTTTGCAGGGGAATGGAACGAATCGCGAATACGGTTACTGTTCTGGATGGAATGGTATGATGCATTTGGCAGACAGCCGGTGCGCAATGTCGCGTTTGTGCTGATGTCTTGTTAAGCAAAAATAGAGCACGAGTTACAAGAAAGAACGCAAAATGAGTAACAGAAGGATTTTGAGGAAAATGTGTTTTTGATCCGGGAAGAACTTTAAAACTTTTAGCCGGATGACTTTTAAATTCCAAGTCTTAGCATACTCATGTGTTTTGAATAAAATTTGACTTTGTGTGGTAAAACCTTATGCCAATAAATAATTCAGTTATTATTGTTTTATAATCAATGAGTTCTTGATTATGCCAATTAGCTTCGCGTACTTATTCTGTTGTCGACCCCCCCAGTCAGAAAGTTGAACATCATTGACTCCCAATGGAAATTTCATCGACTCTCAGAGGATCAGTACCAAACCCCTTGGGAATCCTTGATCTAGAAAAAAAATCTTACAAAATTGACAAACAAACAACAAAAATTGACGATCTTCTTACTCATCAGTTAGATAGATAAATAGATTAGATATTTTCAAAATGCCCCATTGGAGTCTTTTCCCCCAAGAGCTTTGGTTCATAAATTACATTTTCTCATACTTCTGAAGAAGACACTGGGCACAAACGGAAGATCGATATCGAAGTGACTCGAAACAGGGATTTTTAGAAAAATCAAATAAACCTTATGCTACTTTGCTTTCCTGTTAGTTAACTTGCCATCTCTTATCTTTCAATTATACGCTGCGACAGAAAATGGGGTATTATATTTTTATTCGTCTATCACTTAAAAAGAAACTATCATGAAATGAATATATTCTATTAATAATTTTATTCTATAAATAAAATGTTGTTTCCTCATTACTATAAGAATTTTTCATATGTGTTTACAGTGTTGTTTGATACAATTCGATGGTTTTTATTTTGCAGACAAAACTGTTTACCCAATGAAGGACAGGGGATCAAATCAGGATGCCTCTCCTGGGAGCATAAGAAGAAGTAAAAGATCGGTGAGCACAGAAAGGAATGTCGAGACTTTAGTAGTAGCTGATAAAATGATGGTGGATTATTATTCTGAAGAAGATATAGAAATCTACATACTCACTGTTATGAACATGGTTAGTTTCGAATATCTGCATTTACTTTCTCGTTTGAAGTATCATCAATTACGCTTAATTAATTAGGAATTACGGCATACTCACTTTTATGAACATGGTTAGTTTCCAATATCTGAAATTTACTTGCTCGTTTGAAGTTTAAGTATGCTTTAAGTAACTAAGAATTATTATACTGCATACTCACTGTTATAAACATGGTAAGTTTCTAATATTTGCGATTTACTTGCTTGTTCGATGTATCATTGAACTGAGAGTCGTAATAACGTTGTTATCTAATTACCGCAATACGAAATAAAAACGAAGTATTGTAATCGCGAAAAATTTTAGGTATCATATTTTAACGAAAATGTCCATTTTGACCGCTATCGAATGCAATTTAACGATGTTTTTACGTGACATCTGTACGTAAGGAAAGAATAAAGGACTTTTGTCAAACAAATTACAGAAAATGATACGAAAAACACTTAGCTGCTGATAAATAGAAATTAATGGCAACAATCGATAAAGCACGGGTATATTTAAGTCAAATTAAAAAAGATCAATTATCTATTGCTTCGCTGACGAAAATTGACCGTACAAAATGTCATAATCAGTATTCAGAGTTCCTAACAGAATCTTGTTATAATGGCAAATTAAAACTCGAAAACGTCTCAAGTAAGACTATAATGAATTAACTGTACTATCATCAAAATACTTTAAAACCAATTTTTGAAGAAGAAAATATTATATAAAAAATATATTAAATTAGCGAAAGTATCCGATGCCAGTTAAGTTAGATTGAGAATAACATATCTAACAACAGAGATAACGATACCGCTGTAATCCTTCTCTAATAACGATGCAAAAACTACGATTCAGAGTCATATATTTTTCAGTCGGATGTGATATGGAACCCACATAAAAAATTTCCATAGAAAAATAAACTAATTCTCTCTCATTATATTTGCAACAATGGCAAGCAGTTTTCAATGAGTTTCCTCTTTGTAATCAAAAATGGTCGTAAAAGCTCAAGTTCCTTCGAATATTTCACGTATGTTCAATTTTAATCGATTAAATGTGGCAAAAAAATTATCATAATGGATCAGAAATCAATAACGCAAACAAATAAACAAACACACATTCTTCTTTATACATACAGATTTCGTAAAACTTACACATTTTTGATTAACTTGTCAGGACTATTGTTTCTCCTTGTCTGCTTTGCGAACATGAAGTGTTCTGAGCAGACAGCGAGTTTTACTAAAAACTATGTCCTATGGATTGTAGAAGAGATAACAAGACGAGAAGGGTTTAGTTACCCTTTATTTTTCCACACTCTGCAGGTGCTTCCGCACTTCGAGATGCAAAGACCAAACAATTGTGGGCTGAACGTAAGAAAATACGAACTATTAGCTAACTAAATTTAAATAAGAGCTAAACTCGAGTACTTTACACAAACGAATAACACTAAAATTGGCCTTTTAGATTTTCACGTATGTATAATGGAAACTGCGGAAAACTACAATACGTCTTCAATAAAAAGAGGGCTAAACCTCTGGACTTAAAGGCGGATAGCAACTGACTGAAAGCACGCGTGAAATAAAGTGGCAAGAAGGCTCACTCTCTCTTTTAACTCTTCTCCACAACTTAAGTACTTAAGAGTTAACAAGACCACAACTTAAATACTTAAGAGTTAACAAGCACAATTTGCATAAACAGATTAACGCGTTTATTCTGGCCGGAAGTGGAAAATAAGAGAAGACAGTAAAGTTTTAAAATAAAATAAACGTTAGTAAAACTTACGATCCTTATAAACCGACTCTACGATTTGAAAGCGAGCAGCAGCAATACTTTACGAAATAAAGAATTTTTATCTTCACTGTTGCCACTCGGAAAAATGAGTACGAAAATTAGTGCTTTCAGAGTTTTTAATTAATATTTCGGCTGAGTCTAACGAAGATGAGAACAGTCGAAATGGCTTCGCATGGATTTTTGGAATCGGGAATAATGTATTTAACATTTGGCAATGCTATTTTTATTTCATCGTAAAACTGAGAAATGTTTTATTAACGAACTCTATGATTTGAATGTGAGCAGTGGCAACACTTCTCGAAATAAAGCAGATTTTTATCTCCAGCATGGGAAACTATTTGCACTTGGAAAAAATGAGAGCAAAAATTAACGTTTTCAAAGATTTTAATTAGCGTCTCTGGTTTTAGCTTATGGACGTCGACTTTTACCAGGACCCAGAAGAGAATGGTAGAAAGTTTGGTGACGATAAATATAGTAGTGACTTAGTAGATCTCGAATAAAGACACAAACAGACATTCTTCTTTATATATACAGATTGTTGAAATTATAGATTTGCTTCTAAACTATTGTACATTTTCAATAATTTTTTAAATTACTTTGTCATTATCAATAACGAAGCGAATTTCCCTTAACAAAAGAAAAAATTTTTCAATTTAAAAATGCGGATGTACTTTATTACTAAATAATAATCCTGGGAATAATCGTTAGAAAATAAAATTTTAAAACAATGAATTATTTAGAAACTTCATTAATTTCCAGTGTTCTGAATTCTTTCTGAAGATTTGAAATGGTTTTTACATAGCCAAATTATTAACCCAGTTCTATAAGAATTCTCATTAGCCTAGTTTAGCATGCAATTTAAAGGTCCCATAATGCAAGGTTTTAAATGTTTATAATTATGTCCTAGTTATACAGCAACAGTTCGATGAAATAAAAATTTAAGGAAATTACTTTTTGTTTAGCTTATTTTCCTCGTGGTTACATCAAGTAATCATCAAAATGCATTTTATTTAGAACCTTAACAATAGAAAACGTGATTTAGTGTATCTGAAGTATAACAAAGAACAGTAATTGTGATTTTCTTTTGCTTTAAACAAAATTTCGTGCAGTAGTCTAGAAGATTTTCTATTAAGACTTCTACGAAATTCTTCAGTTAATGACTGCATTGTTGGGAACTGGGTAAAAATATCCAACAATAAAAGAAAGAAAAACAAATGCATTCTAAGCATACTGCCAAACTATTAATTTTTATAATAAGATGTTGAGGTACGTCATGAATATCTTTTTAAAATATCTCATGTGGACATTATATGACTTCCTTGTACGACCTATTAAATTATACACATTTTTTTTGCTGCATTCAAACTATATTCGTTTTTCATTCAAACTTATTTCCTCGAATTATTCTAACTTAATTATTAATTAAACTCCGAATCGTTTTTGAGTCTTGCAAGATATATACATACATACGTATGTAAGCACGAAACGTCACAAAAAAAATCCCTTTTGAGTCCATTTTAAATTTATTTTACAATTAATTTCGGGGAAAAAATTCTTTATTCTGTGCGTCCGTACAAAAATCACAGGGAAAAAAAAAAAAAAAAAAAAAAAAAAAAAAAAAAAAAACTTCGTCAAAATGAAATTGGGAACGGTCATAATGGATATTTCCGTTGAAATATAATACCCGAAAATTTCCACAATTAACAATACTTCCTTTACTTTTCTACAAGGAGATAAAAAGCAAACCGTAGGAAGACAAGTGCTTGATTGCAATACAATAAACTTAACCATGACTTCTAGATATAACAAATAATTAACTATTTTGACCTGTTTCGTAAGCATTGCAAATTTAGACACTTTTCTTTTACAATATTTTAATAATAAAATATTTGGGGGAGGGATTTTATAACGTTTCGTGTATATCGGATGTTTTTCATAAACGTCTAATAAAAGCAACGAAATTTTGGAATTTTTTCTTTCAATTTTCATTTCTGTTGTTATTTCTATGCTGGATTATTTTACAATTTAAATAATTTTTTTGTTATTTTCAGCTGGAATTTCTGTAAAAATGAGCAGCAACATTTTCCTGATGTAAAATCTAAATAAAAACTTTAAACTAACTTAAATTTCGTCGTACAATCATGTCTAAATTTATCTTTACATTCGCAAAAATAATGAGTGAGTGAGTGAGTGAGATTTTTGGCGCAAAACCAAAGATGATTATAATGCGCCAAACATGAGGTAGGATGATCCAATTCGATGGAATAAGAGCACTTTATACATAAGCGTGGAATAATTGCGTTGAGCCCGCCTGTGGCCCTAACGCATTTTTCTATAATCAAATAAATAAAAACAAACGAATAATTGCTTAGTCATAACTTAACTCCAATTTTTGAAGAGGATTGTTTGAGTTTTAGAGCATTTAGCATAAACTGATATGCATCGATGCATATTATTTCTTAGGAGCTAACTCTAATATACATAAGCAGAATAATAATTTGTTTATCAACATTTCTGGTATGACTAGCAATTTCAATTTCAAATTAATTACAGGGATAAATGTATCAAATAAAATAAAGAAAATAAGGACCGTAAATCTTTTTTATAAAAAGCTTTCAACCAGAAAACTTTTGTTTCTTTCTGAAAATGAAATAGTTTTAACAGAATTTTATGACTTTTAAAATTAAATTTTTGTTTTAAATTATGAAACCTTTTCCGTAAACTTCACACCCTGTTCCTCATAAACTCATATTACGGATAATTTAAGTGTTCCTTCTTTTAAACCCTGCAGATCTTTATCTCTCTCACATCTTACATAATGAATCCGAAACTACTTAAAAGTACTTGAAGAAAAAGAAACCGCCTGGGTTCAACCTTAACCTTTCAACCATATTTAACCTAGGGTCAACAACGCCTAGTTAAATAGATCGTTAATCGTGGGAATGTCTGCTCCGAGCTGCAGTGCTAATCGAAGAACAAACGCCTTCGATTATTCTTTTAAATAAATTTCTTCCGAGGAATGAAAGGATTGGATGACAGCTCTCTCGTTTTGATGTATGATTCTCAAACATGTCTGAAATATCAAAGGCGGACGGATCTTTACATACTAACGAGATACGAATTTCGACAAGAATTGTTTATGCTAATTGGAAAGAGATACTTTTTAATTTAGTTTGCACTGAAGACTTTAAAGCTGTGATTTGTTTAGTAAACAACTGCGAGTGAAATGAATAGGCGAGAAGAGTGACAATGATACAGCAATACTTCGCATACTCGGGGAATCGGTTCCGCTATATTCCGTACTATTTGAACCGTATTTAATGAGGAATACAGTATTTACTTTGAGATTATATGACAAACAAATACATTAAAATTTGTACCAGTTATTCCGGTGACAATTCAGTAAAGTTATTAAAAACAGCAACAAAATACTAATCGTCATTTTTGTTAACTAATTTTTTTAACCTCTCGCCAACCTAATTAATAGATAAGGAAGGCAATGCTTTCAGTCCAAAAATTCGATAGTGAGTTTTCAGGGAATAACCACGAATTAGATTTCCTAGAACGCGTTTTTATTATTTTTTTCTACCATAATGTCTGTCTTGTTTGTGTGTATATATGTCTGTGAAGATTATTTCGTTTACAGTAACTCATACGGAAACTTACAAAAATTTCCCCTTTCCGTATTTAACCTTTCTCCATTCGTATTATCAGGTTCAGTGTTCCTCCTTACTTGCTTGGGGAACATGAAATGACCTGACTCGGAACAGGGAGCTTACTAAAGCTATGTTCAATAAATGTGGGAAGTAGACAAGATACACAGGAAGGGTATACGAAACCCTTTATTTTTCTTTCTTTACAATGATTTCCGGACTTCGGAATACAGAGACCAACCACTTGTGGTCTGAACGTAAGAATATAAAAATATTAACTAAATTCTAACTAAACTAACTTTGGATTAATAAACAAGGGTCTACTTGAAGATTGGCCGTATATAGTACAGAGAACTGCTAACACTACGATACGTTTAAAAATATCAAGAGGATTAAACCTCTGGCCTTGAAGGCAACCAGCAGCCGAGTAAAACTGCTAAGGCAAGCGGCCTGCTTCTACTAACTCCTTCCTCTTTCTTGCTTGGCACAAAGCCACAACTTAAGTACTTGGCGTTCGCAAGACAAATTTGCATAAATAAGTTAAAGCTTTTAATTCTGGCCGGAAGTAGAAAATAAGAAGTGATAGTAAAGATTTAAAATAAAATAAACGTTAGTAAAACTTAAGATCCTTACAGTATAAAGAACTAATTTAGAGTAAAATTGGACAACTGGAAGTGGTACTTTAGAGGAAACCCGTAACAATTTTTTAATGGACGAGCGGAAGTGATACTTTATTTACTTATAAGAGTTTTAACAAGAAACTAGATTAAACTAAAACCCAAATCTTTTCAGTGTTAGTATTTGAGACTTGTCTAAGACTGTCTATACCCTGTTCTTATTATATTTGTATGCCTAACGTGTACCATAATAGTGAAAAGTTGTCCCCTTAGTCTCAACAGTCCCCATTTTCTTTCCATGTTCTGGTCCTTCTTTCAGTGTTCCTCACTTAACGTAGTCAATTCCCGAATTCCATCAACGGGATTAAACAGGCTGAAGAGCACCTGACCCAGTGGGCCAGCTTGCTCCGTCGATTGGCGCAAAGAAAAGTATTTGAGACTTCAGTACCAATGTTATCAGATTATGGCTAAAACGGATAAACCGGAAATCATACTTTACTTGAAACTCTGAACAGATTTTCCGAAGTTCGAATGCCGCAAACAGGCTGGCTGCATAGGCGTTTCTATGGTTTCCAAAGTTAGGAAACAATTACATTATATGTTATTCAACTGGCTTATGAAATACAATTCGTAGTAAAAATAAATAAAGGTGCAAGCAATTTGATTATATTACTATAAAATTTAGAAAAACCAGCATTCACACATTGGCAACTAAACATAATTTTCAATTTCGTATCAGAGACTTTTCTATTTATTCGAACAGCCCGAATTTATAATTTGGAATTTGTTTTATTATCTATTTCATATTTTGCAAAATTTTCACGAATTTTTAATTAACAAACTCAACAATTCCAAAGCGAGCAATGCAACACTGTATAAAAAAAAGTATTTATCTCCAGCGCGCTAGAGTGTGTATCGGAAATTCTAAAGATATGCTCTTTTTAAATATTTTATGATACTGTTGTGGAATTTAATTTTATGATTTAAGTGCAAAGAACATGACGTTTAATACATAAAGGAAACGTTAAAAAAACGCTCCTTTGGGCGTAACTTTTGTTCTTTTCTTTTTTGTTTCTTTTTATTGGAACAGCTAATTTTGTTTACAAAAGATGAACAGAAAGTTATGCTGTACTTAAAGCTGGTTGCTATTTAAAACACGGAATTTGCGGGAAGTGTGCTGACCACATAGATTATTTTCAACATGCAAGAAAAAACGAAGAAATAGAGTTAATTCATACTTTAAAGCAACTGGCCTACTGAGGATTGGGTCACAGAAAAACAAAAGGTAGATCGTATGAATATTATGACACTATGCTCATCCTTTACTCGCGCTAAATCACACTGGATTTGCTGCCGAAGACGGTAAACGGGAAAATATGTATGTGCATTATATATATTTTGAGAACTTAAATCGCATTGCTTTCAGATACATTTCTTGTCTTCTTTTATTTCAGGTATCTTCTTTGTATCACGATGCGAGCATTGGCAATGCCATTAACATTGTTCTAGTCAGACTAATACTTTTGGAAACAGAAGATCAAGAGGTAAAGCTTTTTGAGAAATAGATTTCATTTAATTTGTTTAGCAAAGCATAAATATTAAATGCATTTGATTTCGTTTCCATGTACATATAAAAGAATACGTTCTTTTTTAACTCACACATGTTTTAGATATTATATATGGCGTCTGAAGGAACAGAATATGAGAATTTTTATTACTATCATAAACCAAATTAGCATTTCTTACCTGAAGAAGTCTTGTTTCTTAATGTGTAAACAATTGAGAGAATTGTATTATGGCATTAAGTTAAGTATTAAGCTTTAATAATTTAATTTTTTCTTGGATTTCATCGCAATAATTCATAACTTTCAAAAGTTTATGCAAAACTTATGGTGGTATCAAACCGCCCAACGCGAATTTCACACAGGCAATTTTTCTTAAAAAGCAATTGAAGTTTAGTTTGGGCAATAAGTTTCTTTCGTCAATATAAAGCCATAGCTTCATTTTAGTCGAAGAGAAATAGATAAATATGAATGAATAAAGTTACGTTTTACGTTTACGTTATGTTTTATTTTTACGGCGCGTTTTTACGTTTTATTTTTTATTATCACTAAAATTCAATTCAGGAAATAAAAATTAATGTTAATTTTAATTTGCAGGAAAAAAATGAGTGTTTTGAATTACATTTCATAATACTTTTTTATTTTAAATTTTTATTGCTCTAAAATAGATCAAACGAAAGAAAAGTTTAGCTTTTTCCCTGCAACCAGTATTCTCGAAATATCGATATCTTCCTAAGGTTTCCAGAAGAATATAGCTGAAACGAAAACGTCAATTAGAAAACAACGAAAGCAGAAAACATCACGAAGATTTGGTTTATATGATTACTGCAAAGCCTTGAGGGCAATTTGTCTAAGGAAACAGATGCTTTCGTGGAGGACCTTCTAAAGTAAACTGGCTGGTATACACGTTACACATGGGAAAAAACGCAAAAACTCCCATATAGACAGCGGGATTCGAACCACGGACCGAATTACTAGTGTTCAGCGAATTTACCCCTCGGCTGGTGGTGGTTCAATGGAAGGGAAAAATAGCTTTACAAAAAGGCCTCAGAGAAAAGAAACCAAGGGAAAAACATCGCAGTTCTAAAGCACCGTGGTAGAAGACAAAGTGATGCAAAATCTTCCTTTTCGTTGTACAAAATATCGTGGGGTTGGAAATGAAATATTTACAAACCATCGCAGATATGGGTTTTCTGATTGAAAAAAAAAATTATCGTGCAATGATTTATGAGAACGAGAAGAAGTAATATTTTCACCTTTATATTTCTTATTTTTGTATTAACTAAAAAATTTTGATTGAAGAAACAAAAAGGAAATTTAAACATTCAAAATCTGGAAAAATTAAAAGTTAATGATATTATTAGGAAATAACATAATTTTAATGTTATATATCTTCTCCTTTCTTTTTTTATACTACATCTTCACATTAAAAATTACTAATATGTCTTTAGGAGAGAGGTAATATAAATTTTAATTTACCTTAATTTCTTTATGTAGCATTAAGTTTTAATAACTTCTAGATTCTGAATGCCTAATTTCCCTCCCCTTTTTTTCAGGCGAAAAAATAGAAGTAAAATATTACTTGTACTTCCTAATCAGTACGCCAAAATTCACTTAAACTATTTTATAGTCAGAAAAAGCATATCTGCGTTGTTATCATCATGCAATAATTTGTAAGTGCTATATATTTTATCACGGCATTTTATATGATTATGTTTTAAAGCTTCGAAAATTTTACAGCGCTTTATTTTCTCCCACAATGCTCTTGTACCACGACGTTTTAACCTTTGCGTTGTTGCCTTCGCTCTGTTTTCGGCGTAGAATAGTCTGATAGCGCGTATATCTGTATGGTATGCCTTCAAAATTCGCGTTGCACAACAACAAGGGATAATATTCGTATTATAAAACATAATTTCATATTATAAAACATATAAATTTCATATTATAAAACACGAAACGCCTTATGCTGCCATTTTAATAATGGAACTCATATTTGCTGTATTGAAGCCTCACAAAAAAGCCGAGTGTTAAAAAAATATATATAAGGTATTTTGTTACATTGCTTGAATATCGAGAAAAACTTCGATCCATCATTTGGGAAATTAAAGGACGTCAAAACCTGATGAATTATTTAAAAAACGTTTTGTACTATAAAAGAAAATAAATGTAATTCTCTAACTTGTAACAATAAATATGTAATTGATTTGTAAATAACGAAAATATTGTGTGAGTTTTCCGATTTTTCGGATGTCCTAGTTAACTAGAATTACAACTAGAATAGCTAAAATTCTTGTCTGTTGGACTTTTTTGCAGTGTAACAGAAGCTTGCAGCACATTTTTTTTGGCGAGGCAGTTTTTACATGAAACATATTGTAGGATCTTCAGAGCAGGAAAAATAATTGAGATTTATTGTATTCTAAGCAAAGTTCGCTATAGATATTTAAGTAAAAGATGGTATGTCTTCGTGGAACTCTACAATTCTCCGCGAAGAGCGTATGGTTCGTATTCACTTTAAGAAAAAGATTCTGTCTCGTATTCATATCACGCATGCGTAAATACAACGCTACATGCCCTAAGTAACCATGTAACGTAGCCAGTCTGTTGTTTGCGATTTGAACCCAAGGTGGTATTACCAGTATTCAGCCATCTTCTCATTCGATCACTGGGCAGGTGAAAAATCACGAAATGCTGAATTGTGATAAAAAATTGAAATTAATCGAGCGAATTGTTTTCACACTGGACAGCGTATTCAAAGAAATTACGAAAAGATTTCAATAGATTCACTTTTTTTGCTATGCCTTTCTTACGCCATCGAAATTTTTGAATGGAAAATACAAAGGACACTTAAATTCCGAAGCTATTGACAAAAATAAGAGATAGGTCCTCACTGAGAAAAAAAAATACCCCAGAGTTTTATTCCTGTTATTGCTTGGGAAGACGAAACCGAGAGGTAGAAGGGCAGTGGCTTTGAACTTTTGCAATTTATTTTACAATACAGGCTCTCAAACGAAACTCCAAATACTGTTAATTCTACTTCGAATTTTGTTCATTAATTGCAGGTATTACTCTTTTCCAGAACAGTTTTTTTAGATATAAATTTGTTAAGAAGTAACCTAAGACCTAAAACTGTATATCTTATATTTAGTAAATACTGCACTATGTCTAGAGAAGAGCAAATGGAATCATGAAATAAATTTTTAGAATATCCTCGATAATTTTGCTAACAGAAAAACAAGCAACATAGAACTTTGAAATATTGGAATTAAAGATTTGTTTCAAAAATTAACACAGAGCATTTACTTATTTCCCAATATGTTGTTTTGACATTTTGTAGATTTCATTTTTTTGCGTACATTGAGAAGGACAGCAAAAGTTATAGCTATGCCTCTACTTTTTTTACAACAGACCTGAAGAAACTGAAAAAAAAAAGTATGTGGTACGTATGGAATAGGTACCGATGGAAAGAAATATATACTTCTTCCCCATCTTTCGAAAATTAACACCACGAACAGTTCAGCCTGGTTCTTTTCATTTCCTTCAGGAATTCTAAGCCGTCGATTTGTTAGCTTAAAGTATCACTTATTTAGATTTCGATGTGATTTACTCAGATTTGATGCTCACAGAGCAGGGATACCTTCACGAAATAAGTGTTTCTTTCGACACTTCCGACTACTGCACAAAGCGACTGGACGGCGGCAGTGCGATTTATTACGAAGAAAATCCTATTTTAAGACCTAGTTCCGTCTCTAAATTTAAACATCGATCTGACATCCGAATTATGGAAGTTAAAAATGTGCCTCTGGAACGTGGTACCACTGTGTTTTTGAAGGATATTTTGGGGAGTAAAAATACGCTCTTCGATGATATTAGAAAAAAAGAATTTATTTTTAAACTTAGTTTGTGCTGATACCAGCCAGAGCATGCAGAGTTAGAATATATTGTAGCCATAAAAACAAAAGGAGTGTTCATAATTAGCGTATTTTGCCTTTTGTACCTCTGCTTGAAGATTATTCAAAGTAGTTAATCAAATTAAGATCTAGTTGCCAATTACTGTTTAATCTCTAGAATCGGAATCTGATGGGAAGTGTCTCGATTCACTACAAGCAGCCTAATTTCCGAGACATCGTGAAGGCAGGATAAAATCGCAAATTATAGATTTTTAGCGCAAAAGGGCTGTCCCAGACCGCGGTTTTAAGTTGATTCATTTTAAATGTCGTTCAAATATAATGGATTATTTCATTTTCATTCGAATCTTTGGCAAAATGGAATTTATTTACCTTTCAAATTGAATCTGATTGTTAGTAGGCTATTGAAAAGCAATAGCTGCAGATCTTAAAGACTTTTTGAACGTAGGACTTTATGCCTTAAAGAGGGTCTCAGGGGCAAAAAAGTTTTATGACGCAAAACATGTCTATGCTGGAGTCGACGGCGAGCGGTTGTGAGAGTGACGTAATCATTTTGTTTGTGCAAAAATAATATAAAATATAAATTAAGATGCCTCGACTTTTTCTACTGTTGCCAATAATAAATTATCAAATTTGAGTGTACCTGTACCAGATTATTACAGAGATTCTTCAACGGTGTCTGTCAAATAACAAAAAATTCAGTTGCGTGCACAATTTTTTAATAATCTTAGGAACTAGTCCTTCGCATTTAAACCCATAAGCCGTTTGGAATAAACGCAATAGACAGCCTCCCGTCAATTTTTTAAAGTATTTTAATGGAATAGATTTAAATAAAAATGCATTTCATTCTATGAAAAATAGAACAATAAGAATATATTTATTATTATTTTATTTTTATAGAATAACATCATATATATATATATTTGGTTTTGAATTTTACTATATCCTTGCCTATATGGATGACGAAACACGAATTGAGTAATTGGAAGAGTTAGGTTTGGAGGCAACTTCTCCTTGATAAGTCTGTCTCCTGCTTGCTCAAAAATCGTCACTTATGCAATTTAATTCGGTCTTAAA